AAGCCGAAATAACGCTTACTTCATCAGTGACCGACCATCTAACGTCCCAAGGTGGAAAGATGAGTTTGTGTATGTACTTCCCCCTCAACCTTATCCGTGGGCACCTACCCCTTGGCTTACAGAGGTGCCCATTAAACGTACTTGTCCTTCGACCAACCCCCTCTTCGACCGTTGTATCCAAGTATGGAACTCTAACCCCGTCGCTTCTACTCCTCTGCTCGAAAATAACAACCTTATTCATTATTGCGGCATCCTTACCCATAAAACATTCTCTCCTCCTTTGGCCGAAACTATCCTTAACATCCGCGTCGACCCTAACGTTGCTGCCATCAATAAATCAGCTCAAGAAGGTGTTTGGATCATCATTATTATTCGCCTTATACTTACTGTGTTTTATGTTATCGACTATCATCCTGAATAAATATTTATTCGCGCAGAGGGATTCCTGCTCAAACCTGACCTTAAGAAGGCCGGTGGCAGTAGAGCTGGTAATAAAGACGCCTCGGCGGTTGCTGAGAAATCGAGGGGCCCATCTTCGAGCAAAGAAGGTCCTTCTCGAAATGAGAAGTCTACCACTTCGCCTCTCCCCCCTAAACAACGAGCATCTTCTCCTCCAAGGCATACCGATCGCCAGGTCGAGCGCACTTCTAGTCGCTCGTCCAAAGAGGCCGAGCACTCAAAGAAGCGTACGCGCCCTAAGGCGACTGGTCATCATTCCAGTGGTGCGCCTCCCTCACCAAAACGGACTCAGCTCGAAACACATTCTACCGGAGGGCCCGTCGTCCAACCTGCTTCTTCCATGTCGTTGGTCTCTGCAGGACCCCAAGAAGCCGTTTCACGCTTGATGGGGTTCCTACCGTTCAACGACACCCACCGGTGGGGTGTTAATCGCCGGTCTCAAGCTGAATACGCTGCCCGTGCCGTGATACAGGTATACTTCTCTTTCTCCTGTGTCCTTACATATTTCACTTCCATACTCTTCTTCACCATCTGCTCGATCACAGGCCCTTACTTCCGTTGTACCTCTCCTCGAGGAGACGTTGAACGGCTCTGGTCGTCCAATCCCCGTGCTTGAAGGCGACAACCGGCGTCTAGAAGAAGAGAACAGGCGCTTGAAAGCTGAGAATGAGGACCTGTTGAAGAGTCGCCATGAGCTGGCGGGACAATTGAAGAAGGACGAGCAGCGAGATAAAGATGAGCTGAAGGCCAAGGATAAGCTGCTCGAGGCTGAAAGGTCAAGCCGGAAGAATGAGGTTGAAGCGGCTGCTATTGCAGTGATGGAGTAGTCCCGACGGGCTTTGTGGAGAACCCAACTTGGCCAAAGTTTCCTCAAGGCTTATCGGGAACAACTGATCAAGGATTACCTCCGCTCGACCGCCTTTCTTAAAGAGGCTGCTGCAATGGGGATGGACTTCTATACTTATAGTATGGAGGAGGTCGAGCGGCAGTTGAAGGAGATAGGGTTTACCGGGGAGATCGACCAAGATAAGACTTGGGAGGCAATTCCTTCAGCGCCCTCCAACTTCACTGGCGATCCTAGCTTACCCGCTGAGCATCCATGGTGGACCGAGTCGTTGGAGCGGTCTTTAGCCAAGGATCCTTCCTTGAGGAGTTCATTCGACGTGCCTCGACCTGGTGAGGCGCCATTTGTTCGTCTTGCTGTTGCTATCCCTCCACCAGTGTCGACCGTCAGTGCTCCTCTGTCTTTTTCCTGCCCATCCTCTTCAGTTCCTACACAATCCATCTTCGCTGCTCCCGTGCTCTCTTCGACCATGTCCCTGCAATCGACAACCACTGCTTCTCTCTCCTCATCTACATCGTCCGCCCAATCGACCACTACCGGCGCTGTCGTATCTGCGACGGTCACGCAGTCGACTCCAGTTGCAGTGTCGAGCACGACTGCTGCCTCCTCGTCGACATCCTCAGCCCACTCATCTGCTGTCGTTCAGTCTTCTGTTGCACCATAAGAATTTGTGATTTGTATGGCGTTCACTCGTATTATTATTATTTTTTTTTATCTTTGTGATGTAACTCTGTTTGTTTATGCAATGAATGAATTTACTATCTGTGTTTTGTCCCCCTGCAATGCTTATTCCTGATGATGTATATTTTGTTATTTTTGCTCTCGATTTGTTGTGTATATGTGTATTCTGACCCCTTAAGAATCACATAATGCGCTTGTTGGCCCCTGCTTATGTGTGCGTGTATGGGCCTAACCGACTCGACCAATTCCACAGGAACGCTTGTAGACCTCCTTAAGCCGTGACCACTCTTTTCCTCTTACTTCTTCTTGCAACGCCAAGCGTAGACGGTTACCCTGATCGACTAGAAATGAATATTGTCCCATTCGACCATCTCTAGATCTAGTAACCCATCAACTGCCTTGTCGACCGCTGCCTCGCACTCTACCCCTTCTGTCACTGTTGCGCAGTCCACAGACATTGCTCCGTCTGCCGCTGCTCCTTCAGAATAATTTGGGTGTTTGATGATGTGTCTCTATGTTTTGCTTTACTGCCGCTTGTAATCATGTATTGGTCGTGCCATGAAGACTTTAATTTTATTCTCTTCGTGTTGTATAATACTATCTTTCCATTCTTTGTGCTGATCGTGGCCCTTATGAATATGCTGATTATCTTTGTGCTCGATACCTTTTCCGTTATGCAATCCATTGCCGCCCAATAATTTGATAAACCATAAAAATCACTCACTGCTCCTAAATGAATATAAACCATAAAAACGCAACGCAATTAATCATCGGCCAGTTGGTGTGTGTCCCATACGGGTTTGGTCTTGTCACTTGCCCACCCTAAGGGATGTTCCGAAAACATTGTGGTCGTCCAGCCCGGAGGCGTGGACGTTGTCGACCACATGCCCACCCCTTAGAATGTACCGAAAACAAGCGACCTTCGCCCACCCCTCGATCGGGATGTTCATAAACGAAGGATTTTGGTATCGTCACTTGCCCACCCTAAGGGATGTTCCGAAAACATTGTGGTCGTCCAGCCCGGAGGCGTGAACGTTGTCGACCACATGCCCACCCCTTAGAATGTACCGAAAACAAGCGA